ATACTCCAAAGGGCCGAAAAGCACAAAAGACGACACCCTACAAGGCGCAATCGAGTTATTAAAAGATGTAACAAAGACCCCTTAAAAGCGGAAAAATATTGGAAATGAACAGTAAAACCAAACAAAAAATAATGTCAAAACGAAAAATAAAAATAAAAATTACATGGGGTTAAAACCTCTAATTTGCATCTTTCACTTATGTTATAAAAATAACCTATTGCATTCCGTCAATGAATCGCCATTAAAGACATTTACAAAATCACAAATCAAATTACCTGTACGTTTCGATTTTGCACTATCCTCTAGGATGTGTTTTCTTTGTTGGCGATTTGCAGAAGTTATAGAGATTACATCGTTCTCGGGAACAACGACAGGGGAACAGAGATTGCATTGAAGAAAAGGGGGCAGGGAGAAGTTTTGTTTTTCGAGAGATTAACGATGGAAAAATACAATTTGGGGAGGATTTGCAATTGACGTTTTGCAGCACGATTTATGCTAAAACCGGTTTTTATGGAGGATTAATAGGAATATATATATTTAAGAATATAATTTTCCTATTTTTGCTAAAGGGCAAATCAGCCATAAAAAATAGTAGGGGGTTATAGCAATATTGGACTTATGACTTGGATTTTAATCAATATAATCTAATAATTGAGGGTGTATAGAAAATTACCCCATAAATATATATAGATATGTGATTTCACCGACATAAATAATGATTTTTTTGAATATATTCTATATGATTTAATGAAATGAGATGACCACAGAAACTTCAATTCAACCCCTATGTTTGACCATTTCACTTGGAAATTTTTGTGAGTTATTGAAAAACAATTCACCGACTGCTTTTTCATCTCATAACTTTCACTATTTCAATATATTAATAGTTTAAAATATAATTTAAAAATAAAAAAATAAAATAAATCTATTTATATATAATTTGAAAAACAGATATGGCATTTAAATAAAATAAAAAATAAATAAAGGCTGCGGCTATATGCAAGACTAATTCCACTTGTGCAAGACCAAATTAAAATTTTCAATGTATAAATACTATAATACCCTTATTTGTTAAAAAAATAAAAAATTCCAAATATGCAAGACCAAAAATTCAAAAACACAAAAAACCCTATCACAAGACCACAAAACCACAAGACCAACTATCATCTTCTCCATCTTCCAAAACTCACAAGACCTTTCTCCTTCCTCCTCCATTAACCCACAAAACCTAGAAATTCAAAATCATCAAAACTCAACAAATCATACAAATATGGCAAGTATGGAGTCAGAAGACATCAAAATAGAAGATTATACGATGGAAGAACCCAAGAATGTATGCATTTATGGGGTTTTTTAGCTAGAATATCGATTTTCCAAAAAAAATCCCGCGCAAACGAATTCGACATGTACAGGTCGAATTTTACAGGTAAAAATCGACATTTAGATGTCGAATTTGAGGTATAAAATTCGACATTTAGATGTCGATTTTTAGGTATAAAATTCGACATTTGAATTTGTGCTACAAATTCGACATGTCAATGTCGATTTTTACCTATGAAATTCGACGCTTAAGTGTCGATTTGTAGCATAGTTTTTCGACACCTTGGTGTCGATTTTTGTTTTTTTCTCATTATTTGTATTTGGTCTTACATGAGAAAAAAAAAAAAGCCAATTTAATTTATGGGCATACTTGTCATTCCATCTTAATAAAATAGAATCTTTTGAAATCTTTCTTTAATTTGGTCTTGCACAAGTGGAATAAGTATTGCATATAGCCGCAGTCATAAATAAAAAAGTGGTCAGCCTCACGGGCTGATATTTTCTATTTTTCACCACCGCCGCATAAAAACATCCCTGTTTTCATGTCAATTTATTTGACCCTTAAAATGGAAACCCTATTCATACTAAGACTTTATTTATTTTCTAAGATGAAATTAGTTAATTTAATATTATAATCGACTACACAATTTATGAATTAATCAAAATAATATTTATTAGACTAAATTAATTAAATCAAATCTGAGGTCCAATTATTAACTAGGGCCCAGGTTCTGGTGTATATATATATATATATATATATATATATATATATATATATATATATATATATATATATATATATATATATATATATATATATATATATATATATATATATATATATATATACACAACTCCTTAAATAAAAATTTGGATTGGTACACTCCATTTATAGAAATATCATAATAATAAAAAAGAAAAAAAGAATAATATTGCAGTAAGTAAAAAATTAAATAACTTGGATGAATTAAATTTTAAATAATTAGGCCGCTACCGTACTACGACACCCAATTGACATAGACACTATACAGTAGTACACAATCTTGGATTTATTTATTATATACTCTAATCATTTTTGCTATGTCCACACCTTGACACCCGCACACGTGTGGAGTGTCCATGTGAATTATTACCGATTAGGGTGATGGTATATTTAATAATAATAATTAATATATATTTATTGTTAATTTTCTTTTATATTAAGACATTTAAAATATCGATTTCATTATAAATTAAAATTTTCATGGGATCAAAAAATTTGGTTTAATTAATAATTAAATATACCCCCATTGAGTATAAATAAATATTACTTAGAAATGGATCAATCATGAAATAATTGAACAAAAAATAAATAAATATGCAAATTAATGTTATAAATAAATCAAAGAAACAGAAACTGGTGGGTTTGTGGCATTGTCTCCTTCACAAGTATCCATCTCCATGTGCAAGTTTAATAATTTCAATTTTTTTAATAAATATAATTAAAATAAAAATGTAATAAATATTTCAACGGGGGGCATCTAGTGAAATTCCAATTTTGCCCCCCACTGTCTCCCACCATTGGCTTCTTACGTTTGTTGAATTAAATAATTAAAAATAATAAAACAAAAAAGACAATAATAAAAAAAAAGTCCCCCCACACTGTTTCTCTGACACAGACTCAATTCCATCCGCGGCTTTATCTCTCTCTCTCTCTCTCTGCAGATCAAAGAGAAAGCTTTCAGATAAACTCTCCCCCACTTGATCTTACAATTCTCCATTCTTACAGTTTTTTTTTTTTCTTTTCTGCTGTTTCATTGCAACCTTTGATTTTGTTGTTGTTCAGTAAGGATATATATCTATGGTGGGAATCTCTTAAAGAATCTGTCGGTTGCATTTTTTTGTTTAGCTTCAGACACCAGAAAGATTAAATTTTTTTGAAGTACAAGTGATCTGTGTGTGTGTGTGTGTGTTTTGATGGGGAAAGGTAGACAGTGACAAAAACAGAAATAAGATGAATATATATTATTAAACATAGGTAGTCTTGATGTGGGTTTTGCTAGAAATGTTTGAGCAAGTCATAAAGTTTTGATCTTGGTGATGATGTTTCATTAAATTAATGTCGGTGCTTGTTTAGAGAGAGAAAGAAAGAGTTTAGAGAGAGAAACAAAAAAAAAATGGGATCTGGAAATGGGTTTTACCCGGAAGAAGAGTTTAGTTTGGACCCCAAATGGTTGGTGGATCCGAAGCTTCTTTTTGTCGGGCCAAAGATTGGTGAAGGCGCCCATGCCAAAGTGTACGAGGGAAAGTAAGTTGACTTTTTATTTTTTCTTGTCTGAATCTTGATCTTTAACTATGAAGTTTTAGCACTAATTGAGCTCATTATTTGATTTTTTTTTGAATTTTTTGAATTCCTAATAGTAATGTATGAATTGAAATTGTCCATGATTTGAGAATGAGATTCTTTTGTGTTTCTGCAATTTCAGTTAGCAATTTGTTCTTACGAAAAACGGGGACGTAATTTTCGCCGATCTAGTTGCGTTTAAAATGAATATGTCATTAGTGAGTAGAAGTTGCCAATTTTGCCATAACCGAAAAGTAGTCGAATTATTCGAATGGCGATAAAGTTTTAATTTCAATTTTTCGCCTTTCGTGAATTGCCCGTTTATTCAGATACAGAAACCAGAATGTAGCTATCAAGATCGTTCATCGGGGAGACACGCCGGAAGAGATTACCAAGAGAGAGGGCAGATTCGGCAGAGAAGTTGCGATGTTATCCAGAGTCCAACACAAGAACTTAGTTAAGGTTGTCTATATATATATAGAGATATATAACTCTGTACATATATATATATCGTAAGATGTTTGTTTGTTAAGGATGTCGTAGTGGTGACCCGTGTTTTGTGTCTCGTTTTTCCAGTTCATCGGAGCTTGTAAAGAACCTGTAATGGTGATAGTAACGGAGCTTCTACTCGGTGGGACATTGAGAAAGTACTTGCTGAATTTACGACCTAGGTGCCTCGATATGCGAGTCGCTATTGGATTTGCTCTCGATATTGCTCGTGGAATGGAATGCTTGCACTCACATGGCATCATTCATCGTGATTTGAAACCTGGTGAGTAATAATTTTGCTACTCGTCATCGTTTGGTGCGTAACATAAGCCGTGATTGATTAAATAATTAGGTCGTAAATTGATGTTCGATTGCCTTCTCGGGGATCGTGTATTAGATAAGATATTGCCATATCTTATCTTATCTTGGCAACCAAACGAGGCCGAAGCATATATATATATATATATATATATATATATATATATATATATAGTTGTCATGAATTTGAGGCATTGTAATAACTCTTGCTAATAAATCAAGAACTCGTTTCGGGATAATTGTTGGTTTGTGCGCACGTATTTAGAAAACTAATACGTAAACGTGGATTTAGGGATAAATATTTTGTGTATGACTAAAATACCCTTCTCGTTAATTTTTTGGTTGCAGAAAACTTGCTATTGACAGCAGATCATAAAACAATCAAACTTGCGGATTTCGGTTTGGCAAGAGAAGAGTCGTTGACAGAGATGATGACAGCCGAAACCGGAACTTATCGTTGGATGGCTCCAGAGGTATGGTATATTCCATCCGATTATTCTTCGTGCTTTTATCTATTTTTTCATTTCTGAAAATATCTTCCCTTTTTATTTATTCTTTCTCTGCTGTTCCGTATACAGCTCTACAGTACAGTGACACTTAGACACGGAGAAAAGAAGCACTACAACCACAAAGTGGATGCCTACAGTTTCGCCATCGTGCTTTGGGAGCTCATACATAATAAGTTACCCTTCGAAGGCATGTCGAATCTGCAAGCCGCCTATGCTGCTGCTTTTAAAGTAAATTACCTTTTTACCCCTCTAATATTTGCAAAATATTTCCCCTCTGAATTTAATCCAGCTGAAATTTATGCTTCGAATAATTGATATAATGACGGGGGCCGTGACCCCCTTGTTATATAAAATCTTATGTGTTATTTATTTATTTTTTAAAATTTTCAGAATACAAGGCCGAGTGCGGAAGATCTCCCGCAAGATCTAGCTTCGATAGTGACATCATGCTGGAAAGAGGATCCGAACACACGTCCGAATTTCAGTCAAATAATACACATGCTCCTTAATTATCTATCCACCATATCACCGCCAGAGCCAGCTATACCCGCTCGTATATTCACGTCGGAAAATGCCATATTCCCACCGGAATCTCCCGGAACCAGCTCTTTGATGGCCAAGAGGGACGACAACTGTGAAACGCCCAAAACGCCCCTCGAGAACAAGCCTAGGGGCTTTTTCTTCTGCTTTAACCACTGCTACTAAAATATAAAATAATAATAATAATAATTAATAATTATTACTATTATTAGACAATATTATTTGGTAATAACTGTGGTTTTGATCTGACTAATCAAGTGCAAGAGCTTGTAGAATTATGGAGTCTTGGGTTGCTGTGATGTATTATTATATATATATATATATATTTTATATATATAATTGTATAAAAAAATAATAATAAGGTCCATCCAAAGGCCTTTTACTCCATTGATTATGTTTAGTATTTTCATTTATTAATAATAAACTTTTATTATGGTCTTTTTTATCGTCTAAACTTTTCATGTAACGGGCACGAATCGATTTGAACGAAGAAAGTGCAGATAGAGGAGCTGCGTAAAGAAAGAATTCAGATGTTCGAGTTGTGTACAAGAACGACATATGATTTAAAGAGGGAGTATTTAATATTTTAGTGAGTCATATTGATGTATATTGTAAATCTGAATTATTGAAATCTTGATTGCAGGTTCTTATGAATTATTTTTTTATTTTTTAGTCTGAACTATGTTAATTTCTTGTGTTATTAGTGGTTATAATTTGTGCAAGCGAACTGTTACAACTAAATAAAATTGATTTCTACATGCATATAAATTAACGTATACTATTATGTTTCATAGTTTTACTATCTAATAATGTGGATACTTGGCAAGCTAATTACATTCATGGTTGGACTTATATCATCAACATTTTATTTGATATATATATTTTTTTATTATTTAAAAATAGTTACATTGTAAAATTTATTTATTTTTATCATAACAAAATAATGGATCATTTTTATTTATTTTTTGAGAGGAAAATTCCAATGGCCTATGAAAATAATGACCTATAATAACAAATAAAGATAATATAGCATTTAAATTTAAGTTAATAAGAAAATTATATCAAGTTTATGTAATTTAATTAATTAATTAATAATTAAAATATGCATTTACATTTGAAAATAGACAATACAAAGTAGCTCTGCAGAAAATCCACCTGCTAGATTTCCAAATATTCCACTGTTACTAATTCACAAAAAAATAAAATAATGATTAAAACTAGTTTTTTCCAGTGTTTCCAATCCTACCCTCAAACAATACCCAAATTTCCCTTTCCGCATAACACCAAACGAGAAGTGTACAAGAAAGTCATTACGAAAAACCTCCAGGGGCAAAACCGGGTTTACAATAGCTGTCGTCGATTTCCATTTATAGCTTGGAGGGCAAGTCATCGGCCATCGCCACTGGCCAACCCCTAGGTTCGGAACTACCTTCAGTCAACCGTGGGTCCCTTCTCCGAACCCAATTTAACTGCAGACGACGCTTCCCGAGCCTCAGGTTCGGAAAAAGCCGAACCATAATTATGGGTTTTCCCGCTCATTCACACACACACACACAGTCTTACTTAGTCGAGTGGAGAAAAGAGGGAAAGTATCAGACACTCTTCTTCTTCTTCGCACCTTCAAATGCGCTCTGCCTTTTCTTATTCATGGCTAGGTAAAAAAATATTCAGACCACCTATTTTTTTCTGTCCGAGAATAAATTTTTCAAATGGATAGTAGGTAAATAAAAGTTTCAAATGATTTATCCAAAATTAAATGTATAATTTCTTATGGGTTCGATTTAGAATGATCGATTTGTCTGAATGCTGCGGCCATGGATGGATGTATTATATAGAAACAAAATCTAATCAAGATTCAATTTTTATTGTGAGAAATTATTTGTTTCTGGTTTGGGTTTTTTTGATTGAGCTGCGGTTTCAGTCAGCTACAGTTGATTAGGGTTCTTCAATCTATTGTGGGCTCAATCGAATAATTTGATTGATGGGTTGGGTTTCTTTTCGGACAATGCAATTTGAGTACGATGTAAAGGGGTTTTGCTACTGAAGTGTAACATGTTCTTCTGAGCTTATAAATTTAAATGATGTTGTAGTGATTAGATGTTTCTTTCATGGATAAGTAATCCTCTGTTTCTGTAGAATATTCACGAATTGCCTTTATTCTGTTTCTTGGAAAATGCAGTTCTGTTTTTTTTTTTTGGGTTTGGGTTTACCGACTATTTTAAGTGATGCAGGGCTTGGATTATCGATAGTCGGGGTCTTGCGAAAAAGGTGAAGAATGCCGGTATTTCGACCGCGAATCAAATCAATGATTGTGGAGCAAATTGGCAATGTCCCAACTGCCAATATCTCATCGATAATAGTGATGTAAGTAAGCCTCGATATTCTACTTATCAATTTGTTTTTACCAGATATTCGACTCTTTATCACGTTCGATTACTAGAATTAGTGAACCCCGTTTCTTGTTTTTTCTTCTATAGACTTCTCATGAGTGGCCTGGCCTTCCTGCTGGTGTAAAATTTGATCCGTCCGATGTTGAGCTGTTAGAACATTTGGCTGCAAAATGTGGGGTTGGATTTGAAGGGCCTCACATGTTTATCGACGAATTCATCCCAACGTTAGAAGGTGACGAAGGGATATGTTACACTCATCCAGAAAATCTTCCTGGTTAGTTCAATAGGCAATATTTAGCTGGCCCGTGTTGTTATTTTTAGTTTATTATTCTAAAAATCGGATCTTTATTCGGACATTCTAATTTATGAAGCGGTGTTAAAGATTGGATTTTTATAGTTAAAGATTGGTTTTTTTAATTCAATTTCAGGAGCGAAAAAAGATGGAACGAGTTTCCATTTCTTTTACAGAATAGTGAACGCATATGCTAGTGGCCAACGAAAACGAAGGAGGATCGAAGATCAAGAAAGAACTATAAAGGCTGCACATGTTCGTTGGCACAAAACGGGAAAAACCAAATCCGTGAAGGAAAACGGAGTTCAAAAGGGTTTCAAGAAAATCATGGTTTTATATGCAGGTTCAAAGACGGGATCCAAACCCGGTAAATGTAATTGGGTCATGCATCAGTACCATCTTGGATCCGATGAAGATGAGAGAGAAGGAGAATACGTTGTTTCGAAAATCTTTTATCAACCTCAGATAGAGAGGGACCAAAAAAACGAAGCTTCTTTGAAAATCGAAGAAGAGTGTAAAAATAATATAATATAGTGAAAGTTGAAGTGATTCCGAGAACTCCCAAGACAAATACTCCGGATCCTCCTCGATCGGAGAAAACCCCCGTTTCTGATTGCTTCTCCGATGATTATCTGACGGAATTACTTGCTCAGGTTTTTATCAAATTCATATATTTATCTACATTTGAATTCACTTAATTGCTCAAATATTAATTGAGAATGCATTCTCCAAAATACATTTTTGCATTCTTTTATTACAACCATGTGAATGCGCACTTACTGTCATAAACTAATCGTTACTCTTATTTGTTGTCTAATGTGTCCCGTTTGAAGGATGAAATGGAAGCTGTTGATTTAAGTGGAGGGGAGTCTCTATTGTGCAACGAGATAATCGGTTCTTACGGCGCGTTCGATGATTTAAGACCAAACTACCCCCAAGTTGGTGGCGATTTTACGTGTGGAATTGCCGACCTTGAGAACATAGAACTCGACACTCCACCGGATTTCCAGCTTAATGTAAGAAGTTCTTTAGTTACTACATGCGTTTAGAAGTTTATAAATTACATCATTATCGATTTATTACTATGTGTTTTTTTTCCCTCTTTTGCAGGATTTGCAGTTTGCTTCTCAAGACAGCGTCTTTGATTGGTTGGATCGGTTATAGAAGACGATAATGAAATGACACGATTCGTGCCTTTCCCGAGTTCCCGATCAGATTTCTTACTACATTCAAGAAACCATCTAACATGAAAAAATAAAATCAAAAATTAAAAAAAGAAAAAGAAAAAGAAAAGAGTGAAATTGTAGTTGGAGAAGTTAAGGTTGGACATATGTTACTACTATTAGAGCAGTTTCTTTTTGTGGGCTCTGATTTTGTTGTACTCCTAAATCCTTAAAATTTGTATTATTGTGCTATGTACTAACTTGTATTGTATGATTCTCTATCTTCTTGATTATGTTTTATGTTAATATTTGTGGATGTTTCATTTTTATTTTATTTTTTAATTATTAGTATTATTTTTTATTTTTTGAGTTTCAGAAGAATTAAATTGATTTTTTTCTCAAAAGAATAAATAAATAAATTGAATTCATTATTTTAAAACGATGTTATGTCATTTTCTTAGGCTGGTACGTACTGATATTTAAAAGAGGTCTCACTCTATATGTTATCTCAAGTCATACTATTGTTTTAAATTGGAAAGGGAAAGTTAGGTCAATGTTTTTTTCTTAAATCACCTATAAATAATACTAGACCAATCATTGATTATTAACAAACAAATGAAAGTCAATTTCAAGGTCTTGTTCCTAATAACTATAATTCAATTTAGATAATATTTTTTAGAGCGATTTGCGGATACTCCGAGGTAAAGTCAAATTACAAAAACACCCACTTATGTTTGAGTAATTACAACTACTCTTAACTACGTATTGTCTTACTCTTACACGTCCACCCATATAGTGTCAAATTTACCTACTGAAGAAGGGGTTTTTTTGTACGATAATACATAGTTGAAGGGGTTACTATAAGTCTATAACTATCGAAACAAGAGAGGTTTTTTTTCGTAATTTGAGCATAACTCAGAAGATGGCCGTAATTTGCGCTGTTTTTTTAATAAAAAGTAAGAAGAAGTAAGAAAAATCAACGGAAAAATACAATTTTCATCCATCAGGTTTGCACTGATATCACATTTGGTCTTCAATATTTATAAATAAACACATTTGGTTCCTCATATTTCAAAAAAATCAACACTTTTAGTCTTTTCCGTTAGTACTAACGTAATCAAGTTTGTGCACATCACTGCCTTAACGGTAAATTGACGAAAATTGCCAAAAATGTTAGATTATTGAAACATGAAGGACCAAAGATGTTTTTTTGAACACAAGGTGGACAAACGTAAAATCGGTGCAAACTTGAGGGACCAAAGAAGTTTTTGTTAACGCAAAGTGTACAATGTGTAATCAGTGCAAACTTGAGGAACGAAAATTGTAATTTTTCATTTAAAAAATATTTGTAGGCCAACAAATCCCCATCAACTGGGAAACTAGCAACCCATCCACCAAGACCAGCAGATCAAAAACAGTTAAGGCCAACACCACATGAGACAACAACTACTCACAATTCAAATTTCAAAATCTTAACTTAATATCAACAATTATTAAAACCTAGTACCAAATTTAATTTTCTTGAAGTCCATCAAAAAAACTATTTCGTCAATAGAACTTAATAGTAGCAATCGAACAAAGGTCGAAAAAAAAATACGAGCGCCGGCATCTATATATTCCCTTTACTTCTATCGAACGGTACAAATCGAGAACAAGCTACAGTAATTCACAAAAATAAATTACCCCCTAACTAACAGTAAAAAATATCGAAAAAAAGAAGTGCCATGAAATCGAGAGGTCAGTCATAAAAAAAAAAAGTCATTCCCCCCCCCCCCCCCCCCAAAAAAAATATAATCAAGAAAATGGAAGCAAAAAGCTTCTCTTTTTCTTGCATGAAGTATGGAGTTTTTATCCTCTGTTTCTCATCTCTCTTCTCTTATGCAATTCCCAGGTAAAAGATAACTGAACTCCTCTGCATTCTCCAATAGATATGGCGGCAAATGAACGGCTGAAAACGAATGAGGAATCGGTCCTAAATTCCCAATAATATCCCTAAAAGTATATTCCTCCGGCAACATGTCGTACAAATCGGCCCCTCTGCATATAATATCCTGAATCCTCTTCGGGTCAAGAAAATGACTGAACCTCACTCTGTCGTTATGGCTATACGCCTTCATCTTGAATATAAAATCGCTAATCTTTCGAAAGCAGAAGCTGCAATGCCAGCCTGAATCGGACAAGAGATAATCCGACTGTCTGAAATGCGCGTACTTTGTTTTCCCATGTTTGTACCTATGCACCGAAGCCCGCCAGCTCAGCTGATTGTGGCGGAACTCGAACGAGTACAAGTAATTCTTGAGCTCGAGATGGATAACGTCGGGAATTTCATCGCACCATCGGAGTAGGTTGATCGTGTGGCTACTAGGAATTTCGTCCACGTCGGACATTATTAGTAAATCGTCGTCTTCGATCCCCGCGTTCTTGAGGAGGTGGTCTAGCGCGAGGCGTTGGTATGCTTCTTCGATGAAGGGGTTCTCGCCCTTCCGGAACCCTCCGGAAACTACGCCGTAGCTGAGACGGGCTTTTACGAAATCGAACTCGGATTTGTGCTCCGCGAAGTTTAGTGGTTTTGGTAAGGCGGTGAAGGTTGAGTTCGATTCGAGGAGGACAAAACGGGTGATGTAAGGGTAGAGTTCTTTCCATCGGATCTTGAGCATTTCGATTTCGTTGCTGAACAGGACTGCGTCGAATACGCGGCGGGGGAATTCCCGGGGCCGCCAGCCGTGGAGGCGGCAGAGGCTGGTGGTGGGGATGATGGGGTGGTAGTAGTGTGTGATGGGGGTGAACGGCTTGGGGGGTGACTGCCATAGGGGGCGGAGGAAGTAGGTTATTTTTTGACCGTGGCAGTATACTCCGAAGGTGACAGCTGGTACGAAGACGAAGAGGAAGAAGAGTATCTTGAAATCGAGGCCGTTGAGGAAGCAGCGGACTCGAGACATGCTTAGGATCGACGACGGTGAAGATTGCTGCATATTAAAACAACAAAAACAAAAAAAAATTAGTTTCATTAAGAAAATTTAATTCAAAACCAGTGTTTAAAAGTTAAAACTAATTGTTCTTCTCATTGAGAAAATTCATCACACTTTTTCGACATTGTTTTAAGATTTTACAATAACATATCTTCTTCCCTAGGATATATACATACACATATACATACACACTAACTGTATAATGAAGATCACCAACAAAGAAGAAGCACTAATTTTGAAAATTAACTGAAGCACAAATCATAAAACAATCAACATTCTGCTAAAAACAACAAAAAAATTAAATAAATAATTAAAAAAAAAACCACAAAAAACAATTAATAAATTCTAGAGAGAGAGAGAGAGATACAAACCTGACCACAAACATCTTCGAATATGTCATCACTCTTTTTAGAAGTATAATAATCATCACAACTCATTTTATTTCTCCCACAGAAATCAGAATGCTCGTCGCCTTTTTCAATTTCTCTGCAAATTATCGCTAATCCAAAATCTCGCGGAAAAAAAAAGAAGCTTCCTTTTTTTCGTTTTTTCTTCGAATTTATCCCCCTCCGTGAATGGTGGAGAGGGGAAGGAATTGATCGAGGAATTAGGGTAATGAAATTGATTCAATTGTTCCTTAAAAACATGCAGTTTTGATTGCGAAACGGGTCGGGTTTAGGAGGTTTTCGTCTCCGATTTAACTTGTTCGTCTTTTTCTCTCTCTCTCTCTCTCTGGAAATTTTTTACAGGTTTTTTCTAGAGAGAGAGAGAGGGAGGGGACGATTATATAATATTATAAATTGTAATAGGAGTTGGTATAGGAATAGAATTGCACGAGAACAGAAATAAGTTTATCCATAATAATATAATAGATTCCTATTAGGAATATAATTAGTAATAAAATAATAATAATGATGATGGATTACAAACGTGGGAGGATAAATCTGCGGCGGACCACATGGTACCTAACCGTGCACACTTTACTTTCTTCTCCTCTAAATCACAAAATTCATCTTTTTTACCCCCCCTAGAAAATGTAATTATTTTTTCTATTAAGAGATACATGAAATTATCAATATGTTATATTAATTGATTTAAAATTCTATTAGAAGAAGCAAACAAATAGAAGGAAACAAACTGACTATCTACGTCCAATTAGGGGTGAGATTGGTAGGGCAATCGTACTCGTTAAATTATTGTTGTTATCGGAATTTCGGTATTATAAAATTTATTAACATTGCATGTCAAAAAATTTGGTATACAAAAAGTCGGTATGGGTTTTATACTATGCTACAATGCGTGAAATATATGTGGTACATCTTTACCATTTATACGCATACATTGATGTGTGCAGATCAACGATAAAAATTCACCTGTTATAACCTTCATCGAGTGTACCATAGAAATAACCATCGGTAAGTTACAGTATGGTATGGTAATGATAATTACCAATTTATGTTAACTATTATTTGAGTTAAAATCGAATATCATTTTTTCAAAGTAATTCAACGCATATACTTATTTAAAATACACAAAACTAGTCTTTAAGATATAAATATTCTATTATATTCAATTTAATTAACATCATTTACTAAGATAAATTTCATATAAATTTAATACATTGTTGTCATTTAGAATATGAATACAACAAGTGGAGTAACTTTGCAATATGACAGCATTTTGGGCAATAATATTTATGGGAAAAATTACAATTTCACCCCTCAAGTTTGCAAAAAAATCACATTTGGTCCCCATATTCATAAAAAAAACACATTCAATCCCTCATGTTTCAATAATTTAACATTTTTGGTCATTTTCCTCAATTTACCGTTAGTGCATCAGTTAAGGCAGTGATGAACACAATCTTGATTTTGTTAGTACTAACAGATAATTCACGCATATGACTAAAAATGTCGAATTTTTGAAACTATAAGGACCAAATATGTTTTTTTTATAAACATAAGGGACCAAATGTGAAACTAATGCAAATTTAAGGGACGAAACGATATATTTTCCAATATTTATGAACACTATATAAATCAGAGAAATTTCATCCAAATGACAGAGAGTACTTCCAATTTATTTAATAATTTCCAAATAAAGAAAAAAAAAGATTAAGAAATACGAAATAAATCTGTTTTGTCAAACTACACACAGCAAAAGTCCGTTACACAAAATTCAGGTGGGAGAAAGGATCGAGAAAATGGCGACTGAGAATAAAACTGCGGCGATCGAGCACCGGGCGTATGCTCGGGTCGGGTTATTGGGTAATCCGAGCGATGTGTACAATGGGCGCACGATTTCATTTAGCCTCGGCAATTTCTGGGCTTCGGTTAAGCTAGAACCCTCCGATAATTTGTTGATCGTTCCTCACCCAGCTCACGATCTTGTTCAATTCGATTCTCTCTCTCATCTGGTTTCCATTTCTCTCTCTACTCTTTTATTTCTTCCGGTTTTTGTTAATCATTTTTTGTGAAATAGATAAATTTGAAATTGGCTGTGGTTTTGGATAATGGGGGTTTCTGGAAATTGTTTTGTTTGATTATAAGCTGTTAGTTTTGGTTTAATTCTGGGATGTGTTAGAGATCGACTGATTTTGTAGCTGGAATTAAGATGAATGAATATAAGGGCTAATGTTGGATTAATTTAGAGTTCTACTGCTTTTGTTTTTTGGTGAAATGTGTTACTTCTGATGTAGATCTGATCCATGGTTAATGGAGATTTAATTTTGATTAATTATGGCCTAATCGTGCTACTCTTTTAATTTTTTTGGTTAATGTGTTTTGTTTGTGTAGGTTACTCGGTTGCAAAGCGATGGATATTACGGAGGGGTACGTTTGCTTATAGCGATCTGTAAAATCTTCAGCAACTATTGCAAGGATAATGGCATCACATTACATGATGGGAATTTTACGATGTCTTACGATACAAACATACCTCGCCAGGTAATGGCTTTACGATGTTCTTTTTTTTTTAGTGGTCGTGGTTTATATGATTTCAGTTCTTGGCAATTCTTAATTTTATCGGAATATTTGAATTCTCGGTACTCTGTTAATCTTTGTAGTGTGTAATAGGCTAGCGATATCTTAGAAGCGGATAAGCTAAAAGCCCATGTTTTGCTAAAATTTGAATTAACTAGTTCTTGAGAATCCAATTCTATAATCACATAGTTCTGTTGCAATGCAGTAGTTAATTATATATCTCTAAAAATATAATATGGCATCACAAATTTCCAACTTTAGGCTATGGCAATCGTTCGTCCGGATTCCTGTCTATTTATGTTGAAGCGAAATCAAGAACACACTCGGTTGTGTTTTAACCACCTTAAGTTTCACATCCATTTTCTCGTTGTTGGACTCTGCATAATTTAGATGCAGAAATAAGTTGCTATTTTTTTTTTTTTTTTTTTGCCTAAGATTTCAAGAATATGAATTAACATTCAAGTTTCTCTTTTTATTGCTCAATGCCCTTCCCCAGAAATGCACGAATTCGGCTATATTTTCACTCATTACATTTGATTACGTAGTTTTTTTTCTCTTAAATCAACCACTTTTGAACTTTATTCTCTTTTTTTTTTTCCTTAAATTGAATCAGACGGGGCTTTCTGGTTCGAGTGCAATAGTATGTGCTGCACTTAGTTGCCTTCTCGATTTCTACAAAGTGAGGCACCTCATAAAAGTGGGCGTCCGCCCAAACCTTATCCTCAATGCAGAGAAGGAATTAGGTATTGTTGCTGGTCTACAAGATAGAGTAGCTCAGGTTTACGGGGGCTTGGTCTATATGGTATGCGCACACACAGACTAGCGTTTCCTTTTCCCACTACTGAAAATTATCTTTTTAACCATTCCTTAAAAACAAAAATGTTTTAATTTTTTTCTCAAGGATTTTAACAAGAAACACATGGAAGATTTAGGGTACGGCGAATATACACCTATGGATGTGGATCTTCTTCCACCTCTCTATCTTATCTATGCTGAGAACCCCAGTGATTCTGGAAAGGTAATAAATAATTTTATCATTTATTTATGTATATATATATATATATCTGTATATTTCAAGTTTGTGTGTGTGTGTGTGTGTGTGATGGAAGATTATTTTAATGCAGGTGCATAGTACAGTTCGTCAAAGATGGTTAAATGGTGATAAGTTCATTATATCATCACTTGAAGAGGTAGCGAATGTTGCATTAGAAGGAAGAACTGCGTTGATTGAAAAGGACCATGCAAAACTTGCAACCCTCATGAATCATAACTTTGATTTGCGAAGGTAAGAAACGCGCGCAAAATGTGGGTTCGAATGCTTTGTTACGCTTTGTTTGTCTGGATTTCTTTATACTTCACTTCCAATTTGACTTTTTTTTTTTGCCGATATATAATTAGTTTGTAAAAAGCGACTCAAAGCAAAGGTAAAATAACCCTTGTCCATGTTAGTTGAATCTTGTTTTAGTACTTCTTTTGCAGTGGTGGAGCCAACATGGAGGCCATGGCCTCCAACCACTTGTCGAAAATTACCTTATTTTTACGTAGAAATTTGTTTTTTTTTTTCCGAAAACAGTGCAGCATTGTGCCTCACTGCCTTGGATAGAGAATTTTTTGGCCTATGTTTGTTTATTAAGTGCTAAATGTTTTTACTCAGGCAAATGTTTGGTGATGAAGTACTTGGGGCAATGAACATAGAGATGGTCGAAATTGCAAGAAGAATTGGGGCCGCATCGAAATTTACGGGAAGTGGAGGGGCTGTTATTGTATTCTGCCCTCAAGGACCTTCTCAAGCCAAGCTTTTAGAGGATGCCTGCAAAACTGCCGGTTTTCTCTTCCAACTGGTTAAAGTTATGCCCTCTTTTCTAACCGAAGTCGATCTTGGAACTATGTCAACTAGATGAAAACCGGATGAATCTATACACCCCCGGCTTTTCTGAACTACATCAATCTTTTCTTTTCTTTTTCAATTATTTTGTTTTTTAAAATTTTCGTGCTTTATGATGCACAAATAAGTGTAATTTCAACATTTTTTTGGTACAATCAAATGCAAAAGACTTCTTCCCTCTTTCTCCCTCTCATAGTGTGAATCACTAGTAACTAGTAACTAGTAACAATGTGCGTTATAACGTATCGACTTCTATCGATGAGATTTTCATGTGCGATTATGGATAATAAGTGTGCATGATAAACAGGTGCTGTTTTTCAACACAAGAGGAGGAAATATATGAAACTAAAGACCTGCATAACCGTCTAGATTCGAGAATGTTCTTCAAAAAACGAGACGAGACAATCCTTTGTTCAATATTACTTCACAAATCGATTTCATAATACGAGCATAAATCAATAATACAACACCAAGAAAACAATCATACCTTATTTATCACTGTTAATTCCCTCTTACAAAGAACTCAAGCCAACACTAGAATACTGTTTTCGTCTGTCTCCACTCGAAAGCAACATCAAAAAACCCTTCAGCCTCAAGACTCAACGGCATAAACGGTGGAAGCACGAAATCAAGAAAAAAACAGATTTCAATTCTCAAACACCTAAAATATCGAACATTCTTTATCACACTAGAATCAGTCACAGCAAAGGCAAACCCTAGTTTCTATATCTAAAACATCAACTCTACTTATATAACCGATGAGGAAACAAATCTTTTTTTCGAATACACACGAGATACAAATTTGAGCAACTGTACTTCTTTTTTTCTTTTCAAATCGGAGCACTCACTACATAAACGATATTGCTAAAACGAAAGACTATTGTTGTTCACCTAATACAGCCATGAGCTCGTGCGGCGAAGGCTCCCATATAGGCAGGTCGGTTAGCTGCTGCCTCAATCTTTCCTCTTGTGAAATGCACAATCTTTCAGCTATGTCGCATAAATTCGATACGTTTTCGATTATAGCTTCTTGTGCTTCAACCTACAAATTCAAAGTAAATCACGTTCAAAATTAATTAAAAAAATTAGCTCATCTTTGGTTAACTTTTGTTTTTTTTTTTGAATTTTATATGAGAATGGCTACCAAAATAAAACGCATCTGGAGAAATACCTGAGAGAGGAGATCGTCAACTATGCTCCGGCGAGTTGAATCCGACGCGGAATGCTCTTCTGAGGTGGAGGCTCCACCAAACGACGCTGTGGAATGCAGCTGCCGGCGCTCCGGTGAGTGTGTCTGGGCGCTCTGTTCCATATCCTTCAAGGTGTTCGACAAAAGTTCCCACCGACTGATCTCTGTTAAGTACTTGTCTCTCAACTTCAGGAGAGTCCTCTTCCTCCGTTCGCGAAGGTGCTTCCTCTCCACGGCCGGATCCGGCGGCGGAGGTGCGGCGGACGAGGTGGCGGCGGCGGCGGTGTCGGTGCGGGGGCGCTTCCTGCGCTTGTGGACGAAACCGTCGTCGTTCACTAGTTCCCACTCGTCGGGGTTTTCGTAGCCGGCGGCAGCGGCCATGGCTACATTCAGGTCGGTCGGGAAATTTGAGGTTTCCGACGATGAACAAAATACAGAGCGGGTTTAATTTCAGTCGAAAAATTCAAATTATTGGGAATTATTTGAGCGGTAGAGCTCAGAAGTCGATTTCAACGTTGTTTTTATTGAACCTTTATTGAGTTTTCTATATTATCATTTCGACCCCTGATCTATCATTTGTTTTTCAATTTGCCTCCACAAATTTAAAAACATAATATATATTCTATAGCCCTATGAATATTTAATACCACTCCATCCCAAAATATTTTGTCTCTTGGAATAATATTTTTTAATATCTAGATTGTTATCAAATCATTATTAGGTAAATATGTAATTAAATATGAATTTTGAATATAACTTAAATATTCGGGTAAATTACGGCCACGACCCTGAGGTAATATAGAATTACGAGGAAACCCCCATCATGTTTGGGTAATTACAGACACCTACCTTAACTATGAATCTTCTTAATTGAATCTTCTATATTATATGAAATATTCTCTCATTTTACCTCATTCGAGCTCCACATTTTGAAACAAGATGATCATAAGATATGTCTCTGGACTTATAAATATTAGATTGTGGTGCATCAGAAAACTGCATTTTGTAAAAATAAAGAACATTTCACGGAATCTACAAGATTATGTTGAATTTCACACCATAAATGTGGACGTGTATGAAAATTCATAGTTGAGGAAGTGGTTATAATTACACAAACAATAAGTTTTTTTCTTCATAATTTGACTTTACCTCGGAAATGACTGTAATTTATCCCAAATATTATATTGTGTATTAATTCTCTATAAATGCTCTGCGTTTTGAAAAAAAAAAGGATCAAATCGAAGTTCTATAATCCTATGTTGGCTTCGCTACTACATAAATACAAATTTGTGACGAAATACACAAATCAGATATTCTTGAATTTTATTGTCAAAGTATAATAAGTATTGCTTACATATTCATCCTTGAGTATATAATTAGATTATAGTAAACATGAAATGCTTGTTGTATCATAATTCAAGAAACAGGCATCTGCTTATGGCACGCTCGACTGATCGGGACCATTGGATCAGATAAAGATCCATTCATAATACGATTCGCAATCCAACGGTTAGCAGCTTCGGTGTAATGCACACCGTCCCAGCTGATAACTGCAGAAGGATTTGCACAAGAACCAGCATACACTTCGGTACCATTCACATTTCCTTTATTTCCACACCAAACATCATAGTCGATTCCATGGTAGCCGCAGCATATTTCAAATCGGTCCTCAAATCCTGCAAATTTCAACAATTCTCCTCAGAATAAAATGGTATCCTTTTTTGGGGGGATTACGGCCACACTCTTGAGATATGGTCAAATAACGGAAAAGCCCCTCATCTTTGAGTGATGACAATCACCCCTCAACTATGTACTGTCTTACGAAAAAAATCGGTCATTCAGCAGGTAAATTTCACACTGTAAAGGTGGACGTGTAAGATAATACATAGTTGACGGGTGGTTGTAACTACTCAAACATGAGGGGGTTTTTCGTAATTTACCCATACATCAGGGGTGGCCGTAATTTGCTCAATTTTTTTCAAATAATCTTGAATAAAAAGATTGAAGTTTTAGTGTTTTTTTTTTTAAATAAAAATAAATATATAATGATCACCTTGATTTTTGGCTTGGCTGATTAATTCATACTTGGCTGCATACATGTCAACATAGACTAATGTAGCATTTGTGAGCTCTGCCCTTAGCTTCACAATTTCTACTTTAAGTTGTTGATTGAATAGCAAAGCTACGTCGTTTTGGTCCTTCACGCAGCCAATCTCGTCGAGATACCCCGGCAAAGGATCCTTCACTTTCGCATGCGTCACCGGCAAACACCCGATGGGGCCCGTGTTGTGTACCCAAAATGCCCTTGCCCCTCTTTCATACAAAACCTATATTAAAAAAATAAAAAGCCAATCTTTATAATCTGTTAAGATAGCGAAAAAATAAAAGGAAATTTACAGTTTTCACCCCTCAAGTTTGCTCTAATTTCACATTTGGTCCTCCATGTTTACAAAAAATATATTTGGGTCCCTCATGTTTCAATAATTTGACATTTTTTGCCATTTCCATCAATTTACCAATAGTCCGTCAGTTACGGTAGTTATGGGAACATGTTTTATTCCGTTAGTTTTAGCGGAAAATTGACGGAAATGACTAAAAGTGTTGAAGTTTTGAAACATGAGGGACCAAATGTGTTTTTTGTGAACATGGGGGACCAAATGTGAAATTGGAGCAAACTTGAGGGATGAAAACGATATTTTCCCCCAAAAAAAAATTATACAAGGAATGATAAAACTTACTCTAATTTGTGAGATAAACTGGCTGACTACATTAATTATGGCTGTTTTTTGCTGTTCAAGACTCAAACTTCGTATACCGAAAGCGACGTCGTTTTGTCCTATATCGAGTGTGAAAAGAGCCTTCGATAATCCGTCGGGATTCGGAAGCCGTTTCCTTAAACACTCATCCTTTGTTTCTTTGTAGAAATAAGCTGATCTATCTTTAAACTGAGTGTAATGCTCGACTTGGATCTCGAGTGGAAACGGGCTAACGCCGTTTTGGAACCAAGACTCGTTCACCCGTTGAATCGTCGCGCCACCTGTCGCAAAGTTCGCACCTTGCCCGTAACTCGATCCTATCGAATCCAGGTATCCACTCAGGTACGGTTTCCCAAGATTATCAGCTTCATATATACGAAAAAAAGTTAACGTTAGCAAAATTAAAAAAAAAAAAAAAAAACCTCAATAATATTATTGAATTAAATCTTTTACCGATGAAGTCGATGATCAGTCGACCATCGGAGGCTCTGCCAGCTGGCATTTTGAAGTACGTCTCGCCCGAAGGCGGCCCTTCTGGATACAAAGCTGCAGCCAAACCTCCGGTGTCGGAATTGGAATCGCCGAAGTTGTATATAGCAGAGTAATCACACGGTGGTAAGTCTATCGTCTCGTCACCATTTGTTATCACGGTTAACGAGAAAACAAACCATAAAACTAAAACCACCGGTAATTCCATCGTCATATATTTTTTTTTCGGGTGGAATAATACCTAGGACTCGGGTATTAGATATTCATTATATATAGACAGGTCAATGTCGATTTGTCCCGTAATTAGATTATCGTAATTATACAGTATAATAGTAACTAAGTCACCACAATTTCTTATTTAGTACAATGGTAATAATCTAGTTGCTTTAGGTGATCTTATTAAGGTGTAATGTTAATAAAACCGAATAATGTTAATCTAGTAGCCGCAATTTGTCTTATTTTTCAGACGTAATCGTGACTTGCTGACTTATGTAAATATAATCGTAATCTCGTCGTCGCAATTTCACAATTCCATTCATGCACTAAATTTTCTTTCTATCTAATCTATATCACTACCTTTTTTTTTCCAATAGTAAAGATTCGATTTTTATGACATCTTTCGAGCAACTTTTTAATCCAAGAATTAAGACAGGGGATCTGAATGTTGACCGATGAAACGTTTTTTTTCTGTTACTAGGATTTAGATTATTATCACAAAGCTCAATGATTAAGACATGCATGAGTAACGTCGAATAGTGGATCGGACAACGAGCCATTGAGTATGTGATTAGCAACCCACTGATTAGCAGCTTGAGAGTAGTGGACCCCATCCCAGCTAATATACGAAGCCGGTGAACTACACGAAACGCCTATAATTTCCGAGCCGTTAATTATCATTGTTTGCCCACACCATACGTCGAAATTATTTTCGTGCCGACCGCAGCATATCTTCAAAGGGTCCGTAAATCCTGTTACGAAATTTCGCATAACAAAAAAATTAAAATAAAAAGATTTTAAAAAAAGATTTCAAGAACTTGTTTTCGACTGACCGTAGTATTTGGTGTTGCTGATTAAGTGATATTTAGCTGAGTAGACGTCGACGTAGATTATTGAAGCTCGACGAAGCTGTTTCCTCAACTTATCGATTCTTGATTTAAGCTGTTTGTTGAACTCAATAACCATTGAATTATGGCTTTTAATGCAACCGTAATTGTCGAAAAAACCGGGCTTCGGATTTGTGATGTAAAGAGTGGCTGCCGGCAAACATCCGAGTGGGCCCGTATTATGAATCCAGAAATTTCTTGCCCCCTTTTCATATAAATGCTGTCGAAAAAATACAAAATAAAAAAATTGGAATCTTCGATAAAAATATATAAATGAAATATATTTATCCGAAAAATAAAACTCACTATTATAGATGAAGCAAAATGTTCAACAATATCTGGTAATGCAGCTTTGAGTTGAGGCATCGTTAACTTTCGGAAACCGTCAAGAATGTCGTTTTGACCGATATCGAATGTGTATAAAGCCCTCGAGAATTCTCGAGGCCTAGGTAGTTGACTTTTGTCGAACGGTTTTTTCGCTGAATTTTTTTTAGAAAATAAATAAATAAATTATTTTTTTACACAAAATAATCAAAGGAGTTATTGCGGCCATATTTAGAAATCATCACCTCTGTGATATAGTTCACTAGTTCTTGATTTGAACTGGTCGAAGTTCGTAACTTGTATATCGAGCGAAAACGGACTTATCCCATTTTCGTAAATAGTCTCGTTTTGTCTGCGGATAGTTGATCCGCCGGCAGCGAAATTCGCACCGTGTCGAAAATTCGTGCCTAGTGAATCAAGATATGCACTCAAATAAGGTAGCCCTAGATACTCAGCTGCACAAGAAAAACAACTTATTTTAACTCATTGTTATAATATAATTAATTGTATAAAGACTTGATTTTTATTTTTATTTTTTGGAAATTATTACCGATGAAGTCTATGATAAGGCGGCCATCGGATTCTCTTCCGGCGGGGCCATGGAAGAAATCTTGGCCGTAGGGCGGAGGAATGGGGCCGAATGCCGCTGACATGCCGCCGGTGTCGGAATTTGAATCGCCGAAGTTGTAAATGGCGGGAAAATTGCATGGTGGTGGTGCATTGGACCATTTTTCTGCAGAAGTTTGAATTGAAGTTGATATGAGTAAAATGGTGAGGAGTAGGATTCTTGAATATGTTGCCATTGCTCCTTTTGTTTTTCTGCTTTGATTAGTTACTGTGGATTTAAATATTTGAATGGAGATAAGAATGTATATTATTAAAAATAAAAAAAATTAAAAATGGAATCTTTTTTCACACAAAAAATGTGTTGTGATTTGTTTATGAATTTAGCTTTTTTGTTTAAATCCTGTTTTTAAGCAGAGGGGATGGCATTGTTCGTGCTCCTTTGTATTGTTCTTTTCTGGTGGTGTGTTTTGGTGGAATGTGTTTTTTTTTTTCTTCTTTTTTTTTGGAATTTTTTTCATGTGTGATTAATAAAATGAAAATTACAATTTTCACCCCCACAAGTTTGCACGGATTCCACATTTGGTCCCTCGTGTTTCAATAATTTAACACTTTAGGTCCTCTCTGCCCATTTACGGTTAATTAGTCCGTTAGTTAAGGCGGTGATGGACACACGCTTAATTTCGTTAGTACTAATGAAAAATTGACAGAATAATACTAAAAGTGTTGAATGTTTGAAACTTGAAGGACCACATGTGGAATTTATGCAAACTTGAATAGTAAAAACTTTATTTTTTCTGATTAATAAATATGAAATAAAGTATTATTTGTAATAGGATTTATATTTAAAAAAAAAAAGTATTATTCTATAGGATAATTATGGTGATCCCCTATGTTAATGTCAAATTAAGAAAAAATCTCTCATTTTTTGGTAATTATAATCACCACTCAACTATAAATCTTGTAGACGCTCACTATTACGGTGTCAAATTTAGTGGAATCTTATAGATTATGTGGAATATTCTCCAGTTTGTACATGTTTTACCTCATTCAAGCTCCACATTTTGAAACATGATAATAAGATACATTTATTGGCTTGTAAATATCAGATTGTGTTGCATCAGAAATTGCATTCTTGCACAAAACGAGTGCAAATTAGAGAACATTCCACGGAATTTGGAAGATTCTGTTGAATTTAGGGTGGACGTGTAAGAAGATTCATAGTTGAGTTAGTTGGTTGTAATTACCCAAACAGTTCTAGTTTTTTTCTTTTTTTTTTTTTTGATAATTTCACATTGCAAATGCTTTTTGAAAGTGATTATGCGGTTTTTTTTCATCATAATCTGTTTTTAGGTGTTTGCAAAATCAACTTTTGTTTTTGCTTCTCTTAAAATAATCTGCTTTAAGCTATTTTTTTAAAAGCACCCATAACCCTGCTTTTTCAATTTTAGTTCATTTTCCGAAATTTTTGCAAACACCCCCAACTTTTAGAAATAAGCACTTAAAACTAACTTAAATCACAATTACTAACTTCTGCTTTTAAATAATCATTTGCAAACACCACCTAAATCAAGGGGTGAGACCATAATTTACCCTATTTTATAATAGATAATCGAGATTATCCTAATCAAAAGTCCGAACTTGTTTCTTTTGTTTAATTAGCCCAACCCCCCATAGGTTCGGCCCGTTATGTTTTGGGCCCAATTATTCAATGTTTAGTAAACGGGCCAAATTTCAATTTAGACTAATAATCGGGTCCCACACAATTTAACCATGGTTAGTGCAATTTAACCGTTTTAGATTAGTCAACGTTCGATATACACGAGGAGTCAATTTCATTGGTCAATTGCACCAACTCAATGTTCATTTATGGAATAAATCACAATTATAATGTATATTTATTTTGTAATTATTTTAATTTTATAACTTAATTCGAAGTCTCCTATTGCATAATCATTCAATTTTTTTATTTTTTTAAATTTTGTTGAGTTAGTGGAATTTTAACTGCATTAGAAAAAGACCATGAAGGTGTCCGACCTTAAAAATAAAAATATGAGATGGATATAATTAATAATAGGGTAAATTACAACCACCTATTATTATGGTTAAATTACAAAAACATCCCTCTTGTTTATGTAACTATATTTATCCCTCTCAGCTATAAATCTTCTTACACTTCCACCCTCATGGTGTCAAATTCAACATAATCATCTAGATTTCGTGGGATGTTCTCTAGTTTGTACTCGTTCTGTGTAAAAATACACTTTCTGATGCATCAAAATCTGATATATACAAGTCAAAAATCACATCTTATGATCATCTTGCTTCAAAATGTAGAGCTCGAATGAGATAAAATAGATACAAAAGTGATAATATTACATATAATCTAGAAGATTCCACTAAATTCGAAACCGTAAGAATGGATGTGTAAGAATATTTATAGTTGAGGGGTGATTGTAAGTATCTAAACAAGAAGGGGGTTTTCGTAATTTGATCATACATCATACTTGATTGTAATTTACCCTTAATAATATAATAAGTTAATAACCCATGAAGTAAAGTCAACATACGAAAAAATCCCTCGTATTTGGTAATTACTATCACCCCATTCAACTACAAGCATTCTTACACGTTCATTATTATGTTGTCGAATTTAGTGGAGTCTTTTAGATTATATGGAATATTCTCCAGTTCGTACACGTTTTACATCACTCGAACTCCATATTTTGAAACAAGATAATCATAAGAAGTGTCTCCTGGCTTGTAAATCAGATCGTGGTGCATCCGAAACTGCATTTTTACACAGATACGGTAATTAAATTAAATAAAAAAGAGTAATTAAAATTTAATGAAGTAATTAAGGTGCACGTCTAATTTGCCACCAAAAGAAAAACACCTTTTCAATCATTAATTTATTCAAACCTTCAAAAAAAGGGGAAGAACGATTCCATGTGCATAATAATAATTTTTATCTATTAACAAACTAATTTGATCAAATTAGGCAAAAACAATCAAACAAAATTCTTAAAAAAGAAGACTTTTTTTCTTGGCATTTTCTTCCGAGATCCTGCAACGCTTTTTTCGCAAGGATCATATTGCAGGGAATCTAGATTCCACCCTCAGGTGTGTGTTCGTGTGTGTGATTATTTGAGGTTAATATTAATTCAATTCAATCCGGGAAACGGAATCTCTCGGAAATGTGGGTTTAAGAAATTACTAATTTAAATTTATTTAATTGACTTGCTGCAAAAAATTGATCTTCGAATTTGGCAGCAAACATTAATTTGATGCGTGTTGATTTTTCCTCATAAATTAATTGGGCGTTATCTCACTGGTTTTTTGGAGTTTAGTGTATTCAAGGAAATGTCGAGTTATTGCAGATGATTTTCATTTTAATTTTAATTTACGTATTTATCTGAAACTGAATAGAGTAGCGTCGAAGAAACCTGTAATTTTTTTTAATGGACTTCGTCAGCGGCACCGTTTACCAAGAAGTTGCTCTAACCGCTTACTTTTTTTTTTATATATATATATTTTGTCTTCCTCCATTAGTATATAGCTTTGTTCAATTCGCAATTCCATTTTGAATTTTCATGTATATATATTGGGAATAGGAAATACCAGATTTCATTGCATTTGTCAATTTAGAGAATCAGGCAATTCATTTGTGTGCAATTTCGGTTCGATCGGATATCGGTTGATGCAAGTTTGTTTCGAGGGTTTTTACTTTGTTTATCCGATTCCGTCGAATTAGCGTTTTTACCGGGGTAAGGGATTCTGTTTTGTGTTGAATTGTTTAGGGTTCTTGATTCGACAGGTCTTTGTGATTCTCTGTGTGGTGAAATTGTCGTTTTTACGGTGTGTTTTTGGGGGTAATCGATTATTCTTGATTTCGACAGGTCTTTGTGATTCCATTTGAAGTGAAATAGGTTTCGTTTTGAGAGGTTTTGGGATAATCTTGAGTTCATAAACTGATTTGATGGGAAACAAAAACTCGAGTCCGAACCAAAGTCCTAGGAGACAATATTCAACGAACCCGAACCCGAACCCGGCTAGTTCGCCACCCGGGTGGCAGCACAATTACGGGCAATCATCCGTTTCACAATACGCCCAAACTTATCCGACGCAGAATCCTTATCCAGCAGAATACGCTCCCTCTCAAAATTACGGGACTCCACCCCAAACGCAGCCTAATATGCCTCATAACCCTCAAATGCACGCACCTCAAAAGAAGTTCGACAGGAGGTATTCGAGGATCGCCGACAACTATAATTCGTTAGAGGAGGTATGTCATACGTACATGTATACGTGTTACCATTAATGGTTTGTTCGTCTCGTTTTATTAAATATGATCGAAGACTATGTTATATTGTTATGTAGGTGACTGAAGCTCTTGGGCGTGCTGGTCTAGAGTCTTCGAACCTAATTATCGGGATTGATTTCACTAAGAGCAACGAATGGACAGGTTTGCGTCTGTGTTTTTATTTTTTTATTTTTATTTTTGTTGCATTTAAATAATCAGTATTAGAAGCTCGTTTCCTCTTCTAGGCAAGCGTTCTTACAACGGGAAAAGCTTGCACTACATTGGAAATGAACAGAACCCTTACGAGCAAGCGATAAGTATTATCGGAAAAACCTTGGCGGTTTTCGATGAGGATAACTTGATTCCATGTTTTGGATTCGGAGATGGTACTTACTGCATGATAAACCCGTTTTTTTTTCTTCGTAAATTTATCTATACTCGACTCAATTAGCAAAATATGACGTGTTTCGTTCTTTTAATTGATATTTGGCAGCATATACACACGATCAAGATGTATTCAGTTTCTACCCCGACGAGAGAGTTAGTAATGGATTCGAGGAAGTTTTAAGCAGATACCGAGAACTTGTTCCACAACTCAAACTGGCAGGTTCTGCTCGGTCTTATCCTTTCTTTAGTGTCGGATTTATTTTAATTTGTTGTTTATTTATTTTTTATATATATTTTTTTTTGTACGCAGGACCGACGTCATTTGCACCGATAATTGAAATGGCTATGACGGTTGTTGAGCAGAGTGGCGGGCAGTACCACGTTTTATTGATTATTGCTGATGGACAGGTATTTAAATTAATCTTGGATACACGGCTAAAATTTATCGTTTTTTCAATTTTTAAACCACCACCTTCGTCTTCCCGTTTCTTTTCTCGTAATTCTTGAAACATTTTCGATATTTTAAATTCGATTTACTCGTTTCTTTCTCTTTTCTTTATCATAGTTGGGAGCAAACGAAAAAATAATGCAAATCTATGTCTGAAATCTGTGCATGAACTCGACGCAAATTATTTGTTTCAATTGTGGATGCATTTCGAAAAAATATATTATGTCTTAGCAATCGTGTTCGTCTTTTTAGGTAACCAGAAGTGTTGACACTGAACATGGTGAGTTGAGTCCGCAGGAGCTGAAAACAGTTCAAGCAATTGTTCAAGCTAGGTAAATAATTTTTCCGTTTTTAAAAAAAACTGTACATGCTTTTTTTAAATTTCTCGATTGCAATCTTGGACTAATGTTGCTATAATGTTTGTAGCAAATTGCCTTTATCCATTATTTTGGTTGGTGTTGGAGATGGCCCGTGGGATATGATGAGGGAATTCGATGACAACATCCCTACTCGAGAATTCGATAATTTCCAGGTCAATAATTTTTTTATATAATTTAGGGTAAATTACGGACACCGCTGAGGTAATGATAAAATACGAAAAAACCCCTCATGTTTGAGTAATTATAACCACTCCTCAATTATGAATCTTCTTACGTGCCCACCCTTATAGTGTCAAATTCAACATAATTTTCTAGATTCCGTAGAATGTGCTCTGGTTTGTACTCGTTTTATGCAAAAAGACAGTTTCTGATGCACCATAATTTGATAGTTACAAGCCAAGAGACACATCGTATGATCATCTTGTTTCAAAATTTGGAGCTGGAATGGGGTAAAACGGGTACAAATTGAAGAATAGTACACATAATCTAGAAGATTCCACTAAATTTGACACTATAAGGATGGACGTTTAAGAAGATTTATAGTTGAGGGGTTGGTTGTAATTGCTCAAACATGAGGGGTTTTTTTGCAATTTGACCGTAATTTACCCTATAATTTAATTAAATATATATTTCGTACTCTTTACTGAATGAGGAACTCTTTCCGGGGGTTCTAGTTTGTCAATTTTACAGAGATTATGACAAAAAATGTGCCCCAAAATCGAAAAGAAACGGAGTTTGCTCTTTCGGCATTGATGGAAATACCGTCTCAGTTTAAAGCAACAATGGAGCTTCATTTGTTGGGGTAATGTTTTTTATTCGCTTTACTAATATTTTTTTTCCCTTCCTTTTGGTGCAAATTTTTTGCTGCTTAATTATTTATTTTATTTATTTTATCGGTAATTTAGTGGAAGGAAAGGGAATATTCCCGAGAGGATTGCTCTACCTCCTCCTGTTACACGTGCGTCATTTGGCGGTTATTCAAAACCGTCACAGACAAATACGTCTACTTCGTATTACAAGGAGGAAAATGCTGCTCCTTCTGCTCCAAACTCTAATTACGAACACCAGGTATTTATTTTTACGTGCATGTTTTAATCACTAGAAATAATGAATATTTTTCGATATCTAAAAAAAATTATATTTGTGTAGAATTAATTCATTCTCGTTTTTTTTTTTTTTTTTTTTTTTTTTGCAGATTTGTCCCATTTGCCTTAGTGATCCAAAGAACCTGGCTTTTGGTTGCGGTCACCAGGTAATAATCTAGACGTTCGATTTTTTTTTTAAGTGACTTATATTAGATTCATAAGAGAATTAAGATAAAATCTTTATTTATTTTTTTTGTAGACATGTTTCGAGTGTGGACAAGAACTTCAACTATGTCCGATTTGTCGATGTCCAATTCAGACGAGAATAAAACTATACTGAGTAAAACTCGTACAATTCATCGGTACTAATGTACTCCGGCGCCAAATTATTTAAAGAAGTTCTTGATTGTACATTATTGTTTGGTTTGTGTATATTGGTTTTTTTTTCTGTTGGCTGGTTTGAAGAAGTTAATGAATTCAGACCAATAACACAGTTACTGGTAAGGATTTTATGACCTTAAACAAAAAAATTGTAAATGATATTAATTGTGTTGGTTGGGTGATGTAAATTTTTATGAAATTGTGTGGAGGGTGTTTTTTTTAATTCTTTTATTTTTTCTATTATTAATGTAAATTACCTCTATTTTTATTTATTTATGGCTGTACTATTTTGGCTTGGTTGGTGGAAATTGGAATGCCTATTTATATAATATGTGTGTGTGTGTGTGTTGAGCATACAATATTTCATCTGTATTTTTTTTCTTATCTTTTAAATTAATCTTATAAATATGAAAATAGATCATGAATGTAAATATCGTCTTAATTTGTAGCAAAGTATTAATATTAAAAAGTTTTAATCAGAGTGAAATTTTATTAAATGGATACTATTGGTTGCTAGTTAATAAAAACATAATTAAAAATAATGATATATACAAACTTGGGGCAATAAAAAGGCAAAAATGTTTTCCAACCTAAAATAATTGCATACTATTGTGAACCAAACACTAGAAAAAGTTGACCCGTCTTATTTCCTTAACCTAAATTTCTTGTAAAATCACTTTTATCATTTCCACAGTACAATTATTAAATTTATTGATTATTTAATATTTAAGTAGATTAATAAGATATTTTACCAATTTCTCGATTTTTAGTGTTTTAACTATACAAAAAAATATATGGGCTAAATACAGTTTGCACCCTTAAAGTATAGGGGTGGTCACACTTACCCCCTTAAAGTTATAAATGTAACACTTACCCCCCTCATTAATGAATTTAAAGGTAAAACTTTGACTTTGAATGATGTGGCATTTTTTCCTCTCAAATTATCCTTCTAGCTATTATATAAATAATGAATATGTAATAATAAAAAATTCGGCAACATTGCAAAAACTTAATTTTATTATTTCAATATTGTAAATTTACGAATGAAAAAAATTGAATTTTAGTTTCATTTTTGTTTTACCTTGTGTTCATTTATAGCTAATAAAAAGTTAACAATTATTCGAATTTAATTAATGATTTTATAGTTTATATAGTTATATTAATGCGTATATGACTCTAATATAATCATCTGACTTTTTACTTTGAGAATCACAAAATGTATTCAAAAGTTAATAAGAAATTATAATTTAAATATCTAAATATTTAAATATTTTTTTATTGAAATTTATATTTAAGCAACTGAAATAAATTTTCAAATCAATAATTATTATAAAAAAAATTAGACGTTTAAGTCTTGAAATTATTTTTTTTCTTGCAAATGTTTAACGTATTTTAAATATTTTTTTAAAAATATTGAGATTTTTATTTATATTAGGGTCCATAGTAATTAAAATGTGGAGTTAAACATAAATCAAAATATTTTTTTAATAATTATTACATTTTATAAAATTTAGTTTTTGAAATATTATTGAAAATATATTATTATATATGCATTAATATAATAGCTAGAAGAATAATTTGGGGAAAAAAAATGTCACATAATTCAAAGTCAAAGTTTTATCATTAAATTCATTAATGAGGGGGGTAAGTGTTACATTTGTAACTTTAAGGGGGTAAGTGTTACCAGCCCTATACTTTAAGGGTGCAAACTGTATTTAGCCCAAAATATATTAATAATAATATTAAATTTTGTAACAAAAGATCACACCCGTGATTAAATCCAATAACTTGTCACAAATTCATGACCAAGAAAGCTACCATTGAACCCTTTTTTCACCAGAAAATAGCTGTGCAATTAATACAGGGGCAGCTATTCCTCCTTACATTATTACATTTGCAGATTGCATGTGCATGCACAAGAAAAAAGCTCTCTCTCTCTCTCTCCATACATACATATACATATATATATATATATATATATATATATATATTAAAAACCTATATTTTTCTCTCAATTGTTTCATATTCTCATATTTTTTTTGTTTTCTCTTCGTTTACGAAAAATATGGGGTCAAGCTCGAAATTCTCTTACCAACGACTGAAACAAGAGATTTCGATAGACGACGAATACGAAGATATCCGAGAGCATGTTGTCGGGGGATTAAGGCACCCAAAGTGCAGAAGAGGAGGAGTTCAGATTAAGAAGAGATTAAGGGTAAAAAACCGGAGATTAAAGCGATTTTTAGCAGTGAAGAATGTGTGGAGTAAGATTTGGAGAAGAATGAAAGAAAGCCAAGCCCATTTTGGTCATCTTTTTGCTGGCAATTATCTCTTCATGCAAATTAATTCTCCATTAGTACTCAAGAAATTAATCTTGCCTCCTGATAATAATCATAGTTTTATTATTAATAATGGCAAATCTTTTCTCAAGGACTATGATTTTCAACCTTGTCCCTTGTAATTTCTATTTAATTATTTATTGTTTTAATTATTAGATTAATTCTTACTTTTTAATTTTATTTTATTTAACTTATGTCGGAATATTGGTGTTTGATGGAAGTTCTTGATTGTAGTTTTTTTATAATTTTATTTTGTTGTATTTTTTTCATATTATACATCAAATGATTAATGTTTTTTTTTTTAGTTTCTGGTCATGTAAAAACAAGGATAAAACAAAGTGTTAGGAGTGAAACAGAAAAAAAAAAATAATAGGGTAAATTGCACTTAATCCTCTGTGGTTTGATTTTTTTGCAGATAAACCCCGTATTTTAATATAATTAAGCACATAACACAATTGTACTTTAAAAAAATTCCTTATTTAAATGAGTATGCTTATTTACCAAGTGGAATACCGTAGGGGGTTTTGTGCATAAAGTTCAAACTACAGGGGGTTATGTGCTTATATTGAAACTATAAGAGGGTTATGTGCATAAAGTTTAAACCACAGGGGAGTTAAGTGTTATTTACCCAAAATAATAATATTAATATGACTGAGTAACAAATTGGGGAGTAGAGATGGAATTGATGGCTCACATTTACGGGCCATAAAAATGTATACAAAGTTACATTTATGGCCCGGCCCACAAAAGGATGAATTTTATTGGGTACTCCTTTCATTTTAAGGTTTTAATAGACTTTTTTGTTAAAAAATAAAAATTACAATGTCACTTTAGAATTTAATTATACTAGCAATTATAATGTCACTTTAAAATTTAAATATATGATAATTAAATTGATTAAAAAAATAATGCGTGTAAGAGAGAGAGAATTAAAAGAAAAACACCAGTCGAGTGGATTAGAATTTAACTAGTGGATTTGCAAATCTGATTTGGTATGAAAATTTTTAGCGGAAAAAAAAACTGGAAATAGCCGAAATAGAAAATGAAAAGGTAACAATAATAATTTAAAAAAATTACTAATATAACATTAGAATTTCTTAGACTGCTCGTATCTTACTTTTATATATAAAGATCACTAATTTTTAATTTTGAGATTACTGCTAAAAAACAATATTTCAAACATTATTAATTTTTTTGAAATAAAAGTAATTTATAAACTTAATGGCTTTGTTAATGGTATTAAGAAAAGAGTATTTATAAACTTTAATCAAATAGTATTAAATTATAACACAATTTATCTAAAATATGATTAGTACTAAAACTAAGGCTAAATTAAAATAAAATAATTATATTTTTGTAAATGGAATACTCGGTGAATTTAACAAAATCCACTTCCCCCTTTTCCAAAGGGTTTAGGCGTAGTTCCTCTTCTTCTTCTTCTTCTTCTTCTTCTTCTTCAACCCTGCTTAAAGCAGAAAACCCTAGAATTTAACTCCATTTTCAACTGATTTTTCCCACCATGAAGATCCTCCGTGCAATCTCAGGTCAAATCTCCATCTGATTTTAACAACTGTATGCAACCTCCAAGGTTGAAAATGTTTAATTTTTTTTTTGAATGAATTTTTGTGCATTTAGGAAATCATCGTGCTGTAATTCGAGCTATAGGGCGCCGGAATTTCTGTGCGGCGCCGTCGGAGGAATATTTGAAGCGGAACTACGCGAACAATGAGGCTGAATACAACACCGTGATTGGCTCTATCACTTCTCAGCGACGGTTTCTCCTTTTCCCCCTGTTTTTTTATTAGATCCAAATTTTGGAAATTTCTGAACATTTTTGTTTTCGGTTGACTTGGTTCTGGTGATAATGCTGTATGTCAATTGGTAATTTTTTTAGGCATTATTTGTTGAGGGATGTATATGATGATATGATGCTTGATGGGGTGAAGCCAGAGAGGGATACTTTTCACTCACTTATTATCGGGACAATGAAAGGGTCTCGAATGCAAGATGCGTTCTTCTTTCGGGACGAAATGAAATCGATGGGTTTGATTCCTGATGTATGTTATTTACTACTCTGCTTTGCTGTTTTTTAATTCATAGCAAATCAATGGAATTTGGGTGAATCGTTATTAGTGCTTTTATATATGCGTATCTCTATTGTTTTTTGAAATTCTAAATTTTTTTCTTCAGGTTGCTTTATACAACTACTTGATATCTACCTGTGGGAAGTGCAAGAATTCTGATCAGGCGATCTGGGTATTTTCATTTGTTTGCTTGTGGTGCTTTTTTTTTTTTGTTTTTTTTTTTTGCTAGATTTAGTTGATAGTGTATGAAGAATAACAAAATGGGTTTTTCGTTATTCTTATTTTGCCTTTGAACTGAAGCTTCTAGATGAAATGAAGAGATCTGAGGTGAAACCTACTGGACAAACCTACATATGTCTACTTCATGCATGTGCAGCATCTGGCAGATTAGATCGAGTGTAAGCTTATCATCTTATCGTAGTATTGTTCACTAACCCTTTTGATTCCCGGGTTCAATTTTTTTTTTTTGTTGTTGTTGCTTTGGTTATGGCAATTTTAAATGATCAATGTGAAGTAAGATTTTAGTCATTCCGTCTGCAAAGTC